ACATGCTTGCATTAGGCAGTGCTGGGAGGACACAAACATCAGTTTGGCAGGCAAGACCACCATGATAAAGGCTTTGCTCTATCTGTAGCCCTGGTTAAATCAATAACTGGTTTCTGAGGCTGTGTGAGGCTGAGCTCTGTGTCTCTCAGCACTCGGAGGGCACTCTGAGGAGCAGGTGAGCAGAGTCACCGCTCTGGGCACTGACTGGAGCCCCAGGTGAGCAGGCAGGGTCAGCCCAGGTGTGTGCAGTGGGACCAGTGCATGCAGCAGCAGGTACTGTACCTCGTTTCCTGTCCACATCTGTCCATTCATCTACACGAAGCATAAAACAAAAATCAGTTGGAGATGTAAGAACAAGTGGTGAAAGGAGAAGAAAAGAAATAAACTAACAAAAAAAAAAAAGCTAACTAGTGGGTTTTGTCTCTTCCCATCAGCATTCAGCACTGGTGGGAACCCTGCCCTCCCCTGGGATGAAATCCTGCTGCTTCCATGCAGATCCAGTTTTACCCTTGGCATTGAGCTTGGGAAGTTTTCAGCTTTAGAAAGTTTTTGCATGTACAAGTGAACAATATTTGAGGAAACAGCTTTAACCATTAACAAACACCTCGGTGGGGAAGAACCACGTCCCAGTGGGATTGACACCCAGTTTCTTTGGGAGATAAAATCCAGGTGTGGATAAACCAGAACGGATCCCACTGTCCTGCTGAGCTACTCCACCAAGGTGGTTAATTCAGTTTAAACCCTAACCCTGGCCCTGTGTGAACAGCAGCAAAGTTTTGTCAGATGATTCTCAGGAGTAATTGCAAACTGCCTCTCACACACAATACAGTAACTGGTTGTTGTTCAGCACTTCCTATGGGATAGGCAGAAGGATAAACACAACCTCTTCAATACCAAGGTCGTATCTACTTAAGTTTTCATTACAACATCCTGAGGTTCTTGAGTTACCTTCTCCATCCCAGGACAGGAGCTGCAAGGCCTCTAAAAGCAAAACTGTGGGAATCTGAAGTGGTAAATTCAGAGGAGCTGGAGATCTGTGCCCCCGGTGAAGGCACAAGGCTCTATCTGTACAAGTGTTTTGGCCGAATTCTGCCTGTCAGGTCGGCAAAAGCCACACAAATCTTCCAGGAGCTGTTTGGTGCTGCTTGAAATGAACACACACACGATGCTTTTGCACGGGCTTTCCACCTTTATCCCTGGGAACTCCTTCCCCTTGCAAAGCAACCCGGGCCGCCAAGCCCAAACCGGAGCGATTCTGAGCCCCAAAGTGCATTTCTAAAGCTTTAAGCTCTGAAAGTACAGACACCCCAACACAGGCTCCGAACAGCCCGGGGCTGTGTCACCGCAGGTCTGGAGAGCGGCTGGGCTCAGGGACGGAACACCGAGAGTTAATTACTGCGCTAATTACCGCGGTAATCACTGCGGTGGAGGCGGTGAGCCGAGGCCAAGACGCTCCTGGGACAACAACAGGGCTCGGCAGCATCTCCCGGGGAGAGCAGAGCGCGGGGCTCGGC